CGGGGGGGGGGCCCCCCCAGCCCGGGGGGCCCCACCAGCCCCAGCCGAGCGGTGGGGAGGTTGCGGGAGGGGATCTGGAACTGGCGGGGGTTTCGCCGGCCCAGTCCTGCCCCTGCAGATCCGGCTGTCGGTAAGGAGTTCGACTGGCCAAAGCCTCGGCTGTGGAGAGAGAAACAACCGAGGGTGAGAAACCGGCCTCTGAGAGGGGACGGTGCTGTGGGGGTGGGGGTGATGGGGTGGTTTGGTGCACTCAGACCAGCAGTCAAACATCCTGAGGGTGACTCTGCATCACTGTGAAGCTCTGCACCAGTGCTCACCACCCCATGTCCCATACCAGTGCTCACACCCCATGTCCTGTACCAGGAGCACGCTGCAAACCCACAGCTGCAGTTCCTCGTACGCTCCCCGTTCCCCTCTGCCCTTCTCCAGCACTTAATCCCCCTGGCAGATGTTTCAGCTCACCTTCCTGCCAGCCCTCATCTCTCCTGCCTGTGCAGGCAGCTGTAAACAGGCTTCAGATGACATGGGGACGCTGGAATCCCAAAACTGGATAAATTTACTAGGCAGAAATACGACGGGGTTTCTTTAAACCTTGTCCAAAAAATGCTCTGGCCATTAAACCCCCAAGAGAAGAGCAGGACTGGCTGTGTGCTCCTTCCTCGCCTGCAGCTTGCCAGGAGCAGAAGAAATGCAAAATACAAACAACTCTAAAGCAGCAAGGAAACTGGAGAGCATCTTGGCTGGCCTCAGGAAAGGGACTGGGACCATGTCAAGCCGGCAGCTCTACCTTGTGCTTGGGGACAGCCTGGATGCGCAGCTAAACCGCTGCACTGGTGATGGCCCAGACCAAATGGGTCCATCAAAAACCTCTGCTCCTGTCTATTCTGCTTCTGATCCTGCTGCAAACACTGAAACTGCTTGGTTTTTTTCCATTTTTCCAATTTTTTTCCAAAATGTTTCATCTCATGGCACTGGGGAACACTTTGGTTCTGCACTCCTTCCTTCTGAACTCACATCCCAGCCATCCCAATGCTCCCAGTTACCTCCACACCCCTTTCTTTTTGAGAAAAAAGAACTTGCACGAGACTGCAATAAAATAAGACTTTGCAGAACAAAACAAATGGCTGAAGCTGTTGTTAAAACTGATCTAAAAATATCTCTTCTTGCCATAACCCAAACGCTTTCTAGGATCACCCAAAATCCAGCCTGACCCTGGAAGTGAGCAAACGTGCTGCTGGCAACACATCTCCCCCCAGACTTTCTGACCGCAGTCCCCCAGCTCTGCACCCTCTGCAGGTTTCAAGCCTTTTTTTTGGTCACTTGACAGCTTTTTGGTGAAATTCCAGCGCTGATGTAATGAGCACAGGGGAGGGGCAGGGGCAGAGCCGGCCGTCCAGAGCTGGGGATCTGCTGCACAGCTGGGAAGTGCTGGGTTCAGAGCCAGGGAGATGTGGTGGGAATAGATGGGGTAGGTGCTGACCACACACACAAGGAAACTGACCTGCTGCTTTCCCTTCCCAACCAACGCCTGGGGTTTTATTGCTGAAGCTTTTCCAAACCTTCCTCCTCCTGAAACGTGGCTCTGAACCCAGCAGCATCCATCCCTCCCATCCCCTCGAGATGCTTCTGTTGTCCCCTCCAGCTGCTGCATCCCTCCCTCCCTCCCTCCCTCCCCAAAAGCCGGCGTACCTCCTCTGCTGCCGATAGCCTGACAGCTCCAGGAGGGATTTCCGAGGGAAAGACCGAAAGAGTTTCTGCACCTGCTGTTTCCATGACAGCAGCCGCTTCTTCTGGATCTCTGTAAACGCCTGCCAAAAAAAAACCACAAGGGAGAAAAAGAGGAAACGTGAATATTTTTCTGGATAAAACGAGGAGGGATGTGTATGTGGGTGTGTGTACAGAAAAGCAGCGGGAGCAGGCGGTGGCCTGAGTCGGGCCCCATCGGCAAGTTCAGAGGGAAATCCTGGTTCCTCTTGAGGATTTTGTAGAATCACAGAATTATAGAATGGTTTGGGTTGGAAGGGACATTAAAGATCATCCAGTCCAAGCCCCCTGCCAGCAGCAGGGACACCTTCCACTAGACCAGGTTGCTCAAAGCCTCATCCAGCCTGGCCTTCAACACTTCCAGGGAGGAGCAGCCACAGCTTCTCTGGGCAACCTGGGACACTGTCTCACCACCCTCACACCAAACAATTTCTTCCTCACATCTCAGCTCCATCTCCCCTCTGCCAGTTTCAAGCCATCACCCCTTGTTCTGTCACTCCCTGCCCTTGGCCAAAGTCCCCCCCCAGCCTTCCTGGAGCCCCTTCAGGTACTGGGAGGCCGCTATAAGATCTCCCTGGAGCCTTCTCTTCTCCAGGCTGAACAGCCCCAACTCTCTCAGCCTGTCCTCACAGCAGAGCTGCTCCAGCCCTCGCATGATCCTCGTGGCCTCCCCTGGTCTCGTTCTAACAGGTCCATGTGTTTCATGTGCTGGGGGCTCCAGAACGGGAGGAGTTCATCTCAGCTGGAGAAAATGTTCCAGCAGCGGCACCTGTTCCTGAGAATGACAGCCCAGCTCTGCCCTCGAGGCTGTCAACCCCCCTGGGCACAGTGGGCTTCCCCAAAGCCTCCCTGTGACCCCTCCAGTCCCCAGCCCCACTATGAGGCTCAGCACAGGCACCGGCTCCCCGCCGGGGTGAGAGCGCAGCTCCCGCTGGGTCTGATGGCTGGTCCTTGCTGGGTGGTGACACTTGTCACCTGGATGTGGCTCTAGAAAATGCCACCAGGGTTGGAAAATATTAGGATTTGGAAAGCAGAGCTGCTCCACAGCATCCAGCATCCTCCTTCCTGGGGCTGGGCAAGGCTCGGCTCTGCTCCTAGCACTGACAGACTCTGCGGAAGGTCACCCAGGGTGAGCCCTGTCATCTGCCCAGGCTCCTTGCAAAGGTCACCCATGCAGGGGACAGACCTCCTCCTGAATTGCTCCAGACCTGCAGGCAGGCAGTGTGGGTTACGGGGACACCCACGTCCCCGCCACCGCTAACTTTAGACACCCGACGCCTCCGTGCCGCCACTGGAGAGGAGCAGAGGTCTCCAGAGGACAATTTGGAGGCTAATTAGTGCCTGATTTGATTGCTCTGAACCACTGTCCTGAGGAGACACTCTCTCCCCGTGCTGATTACGCTGGAGTCGATGCAGACACTGGTCCTACAACACAGGCTGGCACCGGTGGGGTGATGATGTGTCACCATGTCCATCCCAGGTGCTGCTGGAAAATGAGCCCTCTGCAGCTCCATGTCTGCCTGGCTTTGCTCTCCAGCCCTGGGCCTCTGCTCCCACCACCCTTGTTCCTTTCTTGGCACCTCTGTTCCCCCAGTGATGCTCTTGCTTGGCTGTCCAGAAAGTCCAGGCACCATTTCCAGGCTCTGATACTGTCCCAGAGGGGAGCAAGCGGGGGCAGACAGGCTCTTCCCCCCAGCCCCTCTCAGCACTGCCTGTGTCTGTGTAAATCCCAGATCATACCCATGGCTCTAAACCCATCTTGCTGCAAACCCAAACAGTGGGTGTCACCAACCACCCTGTACTTCACAGGGCAAAAATGTTGGCTGACACCGCAGGCACTGCCAGCAAAGTGCACTGAAACCCCACCGTGATCAAGAGAGGTGGCCTGGAGCACGGTTCAAAAAATCACTGAATCACAGAATGGTTTGGGTTGGGAGGGAACTTTATAGGTCATCTAGTCCAACCTCCCTGCAGTCAGCATTTTGCCTGGCATCCAACTATTTCACCCCAATTCAAGATGCCCTGTGCTTGGCCCTGCAGAGATGTGTGGATTCAACCTTTGCATGAGCGCGGCTCCGGCACGGGCTTCAGCTACAAGGCAAGGGGCTGCGAGTTGCCTCTCTCCCCTTCCACGTGGCATGCAGCACATTTTGGGGTTTGCAGCCACCAGCCCCCTCCTGAAGAGATTCTTCTGTGCATGACAGCGTATTTTTTATGTAAACAAATAGCTGAGAAACATTTAGAGCCTGCAGCTCCCCTCGATCCCGGCCATATGGGCAAGCGATGAGAAGCAGCTTGTTCTTCCAGGTGCAGCCGGCACGGGTATGAAACGCCGCCGGCCACAGGGGATGCCGGCCATCCCTCCCTGCCATCAGACAGGGAATGTGCCGGAGCCCTGTGGCACAGCCTCAGCCATCCCAAGCCATCACCTGGCAAAGGCAGATCTGCTGGGAGCAGAAACAGATGCCCATGTTGCAAAATCTCAAGACCACACGCTGCGAAACAGGAGGCGGCAACGCCAAGGCATCACTGGGTCTTGTCTGCACGTTCATCCCAGGATTTTTTCTTTCATCCAGATGCTGATCAGATCATCACAAGCTGGATGAATTTCCCAGCTTCAGGTCTTGGCAAATACACAAGCATGGGGAGGGGGAGAGAGCAACATTTCCATGCACCACGTTGGAGCTCCCGTCTGCTCCAGCCCCGTTCTGTCAGAATTACTATTAATACCCCCCAAAAATATTTGTGTTAGAAACCAAAAGGTTTACATCAACAGACACTTTGGAAACAGTTTCTAAGCGATGAGAACAACACTTTTAGATGATCCGAAACGACTCACCTCGTGGATTAGACATTTGTCTATGAGCTGTAAATAGGAACTTATATTCTCTTCGTCGGGTCGGGAAACTAAAAGTTGTGTGCATACTGGAAAAAAAAACAAACAAAAAAAAGAGAAGAGAAATGGGCATGGGGACACCGAGCTGGGGTCCAGGGGGGGGCCAACTAATGCCTTCAACATCCCATTTCCCTTGTCCTATGCGTGAGTCTTCTCATCAGTGAGAAAAAAAACACCCTTCCTCAATTCCTGCCATGATGTCCTATATTTAGGGAGAGATTTTGTTCTCTGTTACGTTGGTTTAAATCCAGAGTGACATCACTGAAGTCACCAAAATTAGACTTGAGCATATCAGAGGCAGAGGATTATTCCCTTTTCCTAGGCAAGAGCTGGTGCTGGGATAGCTCCTGCTCCTACAGCCAAAATCTGTCCCTGTTGCACACCGATTCCCACCTTTCCTGATGGATTTAGCCTCTTTTGGAATTAATTCCATTAAAGCAAGTGGAAATGAGTTCACAGAGAATTAAGTCTCTCCTGTCATAACCCCCAGGCAGGGATGCTTTGCAGTCCAGGAGGACACCTCATCCTGGCAAAGCTTGTGTCATACGTACAAGCTTCGTGCGTGACAGAGACATTTGTCATGGGCTGAATTCATCAGCAGGTTTAAAACGAGGCCATAAATCCACGTTTGTCTGAGCATGCAGTCAATTAGCTGGTGAGAAATATTGCACCAAATTTTTATATAGAAAACATCTCATCAGTTTTTACAAAAAAGGCTTGAAATTGGGACAGGGCTGATATTTCTTTGTGGCATCCCAATGAGTTTCTTTCTGTTCCTGGTCTCCTGTGTGAACCTGTAGACAAGACTCACCTCCCGTCTTCCCCAGGGAGATCTCCCTCCACACAGCCAGCACTGACACCTCAGGTGCCACCAAGAGGGGTTAGGACACATCCAAGTGCACACAAATTTGCTCAGAGAGCTCTGCATATGGCACAGATATGGTCTGTCCCTACCTCACATCGCTCCCGTGCACCTCCCAGTGTGTTAATCCCGATGCAAAGCCTTGTACCAGGCACAGAACAGCGCCTGAGTAGTTGGGATGTCCTGCATCTAAATTGGGGCTTAAAAAAAGGGGCTTGGACTCAGCTGATTTGCACTCAAGATGCCTCAAGTCTGGTCGTGCACCACTGCTACTGCCCTACAAGCAACACAAGTCTGAGGGATGCTGCTGAAAACACCTCTGGATCAGTGGGATGCCCCCAGGGCTCGGAATGGGAAGGGAGAGGATGCTATCTGCCCCTCCCTGGGGCTGGGAGAGGATGTTATCCATCCCTATGTGGGGCAGGGAGTGGATGTCATCCACCCCGATGTGGGGCAGGGAGAGGATGCTATCTGCCCCTGCCCTGGGGCTGGGAGAGGATGTTATCTACCCCTATGTGGGGCAGGGAGAGGATGTTATCCATCCCTACATGGGGCAGACAGAGGATGCTATCTGCCCCTGCCGTGAGGCTGGGAGAGGATGTTATCTACCCCTGCCCTGCGTCAGGGAGAGGGTGTTATCTACCCCTGTGTGGGGCAGGGAGAGGATGCTATCTGCCTCTGCCCTGGGGCAGGGAGAGGATGCTATCCACCTCTGATCTGGGGCAGGAAGCCTGTCCCATCACTGCCCCTCCCAAAAACCCCTGCCCACCTCCCCACCCACACTCTTACCTCTTACCACAGCATGATGAGGCCTCAAAAAAATCAACCCCCACTAAGACTGTGGCTTTTTGGCTGCTGCCAGCCCTGCTACCACACACACCCTGCCCCACCGCAGCTCTCCCCAGCGAGGACACCAATAACCAGCGACAGGAGCTCACCTTTCCCCATCACCCTGGTGAACTGTCCGGGCAGGTCTCCTTCAGGCAAAGGGGCCCCCCCTGACTCGCCCTCACATCCCGGCAAATGGTGCTGCTGCATCCCCCCTGTTGCAGAGTCCTTGCAGTCAGAGCCTTGGCTGTCCGAGCCCATCAGGGAGGAGGGGTGATGCGAGTCTGCGTCCCGGCTGTGCTCCTCCGTGTTGGAGTTTTGGGAAGAGTAGGCTTTGATGGGGGTGAGGATCATTTGGTGTAGTTCCTGCAGCGGGACACGCAAGTTGCCACCTTCCAGGATGTCCTGTGGATTGAAGTGGAGAGAAGAGTGTTTGTCTCTGCAGGGACAACAGGACATGGGCTACGAACCAGAC